CTACATCCTTAAAGAAATGCTTGTATACCTGTGGTCCTGAAACTGTAAACTGCTTTAAGACATTTCAGCAGAAAAAGGAACTTGAAACCAGGAAGAAATACTAAGGGGGTTCCTAGCCTTTGTGAAATGGGACTTTACATTCTCCAAATTTCTGAGAAGCAAGTTACAAATTTGTAAACCCAAGTGAAAAAAACCGAGGGAAGAATTTCACTAAGAACACACCAAAATTAAGGAAGAATTAAAAAACACATAACTAGTTTAGTAATAATGAACTATTTTAAAACTAGAGGGCTGATTTAAACTTTTCTTGCTGGTTTAGGGAGGTAGTATTAGTAATGAGTTATGGATTCACCTCCTGGGCTCTGGGCAGCATCAGCGAGCAGAGTGAGAAGCGCAGGCTAAGGCCCTGGGCGAGCCCTGACTGCTGGGCAGCACAGAGAGGCGCTTGGCTCCCGCCTTCCTGCTTTCTTTGTTGCCAGATTCTTGTCCTCTTTCTGATTCTGAGTATGTCTCACCTTCTCTCAGGCTATTCTCTGCGTCTTCATCTATGTGTTTTTCCTTTCTCTCTGTTTCTATTTCTACCTCTCTCTCTCTCGTCTTTCTTTCCACCTCTCTCAATCCCTGGTTTTGATCAAAACAATACTTAACTGATCAACAGAGAGCTGAATAATATAGTTTAATATGCTTTTATGTATGGTTTATATACTTAACAGTATTTTCTGGTTTCTGCTTCATACAAAAGCAGGCAAGTAGGTGTAATTTTTTCTGTTAATCCTGAAAACAAGTATATAGTGGTTTTCATATGTATGACCCTTGATTCTTACCAAGCCTCCCTCCACCCCCAAGCCCAGAAACTGGGGACCAGGAGTAGAATAAAAGTCCCAGCCTAATGCAAGAGAGTACCTGTGCCTGTTGCCGGATATGTGGGTGACGGTGAGAAGCATGAAGGCAGGGAGCATGCAGAGGTGTGGGGTGCAATCTGGGTGTATGACATGGAGATCCCAGTTGGCCACTGCCACTCACATGGCACCATGTCTTTCCATGACAGGCTCAGTCACTGTCCAGCCTTTGCCTTGACCCTCCCTGAGTGAACTGCTCCCCCAGGCCCTGAGCTCACCTGGTGTTAGGGACCCCTCCACACCTTTGCTGTGCACTCTCTGTCTGGTATGCTTTGGCCACCTGGTCATCACCTGCCCATCCACTGAGGTCTTCCCTGATCCACAGAACCAGCTAAAACAAATTCCTCCTGTTGCCCCACTGTCACAAGAGGTGAGGGCTCAGCCATCCTGGTTGCCCAGTGCCCAGCACAGTGCCTAGCACAGAATAGGTATGCAATTAACATGTGCTGGAAGAGAGAAGAGAGATTCCACATAGAATCTTTTGTCTCTCACTTTAGCAGAAGGAAATCAAAGTGAGCAAATTTGGCCCTAGCTCTGAAGTTCCCACCCAGATCTGCACTCTTGCCTGCAGGCCTGCCCCTGCATCCCTGCATCCCACCCACTCTCCAAGGCTCCCTCCCTCATGAGGCCTTCTGATTCCCTACCCCTGGCAGGAAGAAACCTGTCCTTCATCTGAGCCCCCAGTTATCTGCTCCGTTGTTGCCTTATTTGGACCTCTCTTATGGCTGTTTCCGCACACTCATATTAGGCACGCACAAGACTGTCACTCTGTAACCCACACAGTGAGCCAGCTCCCAGAGGGTGGGACCTCCACAATGACCAGATTAAATAAGTAACTGAAGGCATCTCTGTCATCCCTTGGGAGAAGAAAAAGCCAGAACTGACAGTCCTTCGGTCTACAGGAAGGGGGTGGAGAGTCAGGGCCCAGTCTCCCAGCGGGGCAAGGCGGTGCTGAACGCAGGCGGTCACTCATCCCCAGCAACACGGGATCAAAACGTTACACTACCTTGTTGGCCAGTGGGTCTCCCGGTCCATCTTCGCCTTTCCCAACACTTAGCTCTGACTGCTTGCATTAGTATCTGAGAGGCAATCTAAAAGAGTCAAGCTGCAGTACGGAGAACCCCGGAAAAACTGCAGGGCACAGCTCCTCTCGTGCAGAGTGGCTCAAATGGCAAAGGCTGGTCCTTCACCTACTGAGCTGGGCCTTACCAAGGAAATAAGATCAAGAAAGTGGTGTTCGTCTTTAGCATTTATTTATAATTGGAAAAACTGTTTGTTTGTTTGTTTGTTTTTCTGAGCAGGCACAGACCACAAGCACGTCACAATCAATTGGCTATACATGAATATTTTTGTCATTTTCTTACTAACAGGAGGAATGAAATAGCACCGAGAGAGGTGTGCGCTACACATTACATAGACAATCTGTGGTATGCAACAAAACCCAGGCCACAAAATTGTAATTAGACACTCCTGTCTGCCTCAGAGAGGCAAAAGCATAAAGGACCGAATGGGCACGCCAGCGGGAACCACAAAGCTGCGGGAGCCAATGCCCGGCTTTAGGGATTATTTTTGCAGGCAAGCGAAGCAGGCAGTGGCAAAGCTTCAGTCCTCGCTCTCTTGCCAGGAGAGTTGAGGAAACCATAGGGGAACGTACAAAAGTGGCCGGAACAGGTGTTGGAAGCTTGGTCACCTTCAGAAAGGTAAAAACAAAACACTGCTTGTGAAACCAAAATCAGTTTCCATCAGTGTATCTGGGGTACAGAATAAGACTGGCCGAGTTTTATTTGTAAACAGTAGAAATCAAAGGAAATTTCTTGCCAGTAAAGTGACACATTCAAGAGTCAAAGTGAACTACAAACAAGTGTTAAAAAGCTGGGGATACTGAAGAGTTGAAAAAGACATTATATAGGTCATCACAAGCCTCAACTCAAGTTGGCAGCAAGGTAGGGAACTTAGTCCCTGGGGCTGCCAAGTGGGTGGTGAACCCCACAACTTGGGCAACACAAACTTGAATCAGACACTGGGATCAAGTCACATGTATCCTTCTGGTTGTGCTGCTGTGGAGACAGATTTGTTTATATGATCCACCATGTCTAGGACAGTGTCTGGCACACAGGCATTCAATAAGTGAATGTTGAATGAATGGTTCCCTGTGCATTGTAAAGTTTGATTTATTTGATCTGCAAAAAATATGTGACTATGCTCTGGAGAAATCCAAATTGTGGCTAATATCAACATGTCTGACTAATGCCAAATCTTGACAGAATGAACATATATTGGCAAATTCTCTGGACAAAGTAAGATCATGTTGATAGAGCTCTCTGGTTAATGTTAAGATTAGCTAGGAAATAGCTAGGATCAGTACTGAGACTGACTCTGGTCATTTCCAGATAGGCATCAAAATCTGTGATTCATAAACCTGAGACTCACTCACAATACTTCTCCTTCTCCACAGTTCCATACCCTGAGATAGAAAGGAAGATGGCAGCGGGCCTAGCCGAGTGCTTCATTTTCAGGAGTTCTGTTCTCTTAGGAAGTATGGCCCGCATGGCACATGCCCAATTAATCCACAAAGCATTTCTCAATCAGCTCCAAGGTGACAAACAAAATAGTGTCAACAGAGACTTGGCAGCTTAAATGGTCAGAATACGAGAGAGCACGCGGAGGCTCTGCTTCCTCCAAACTGTAGGGACCTACAGGAACGTCTGAGGTAAGGAACTAAGAGACCTTCGCTACTGTCATTACAAAAGGAAAGTGAGCCTGGGCGGAGGCTTGGCATCATACAACAGCCCAGTGGTTTCCAAATGCTGGTGACACAAGCACTTTAAGGACACGAGAAATAAAGCATACTGAGCAATACACACATCACAGGTTTGCAAATGTAATTTTTCTGGCAGGTATTTTGGGGTCTTTTCACAACAACTCTCTCACTAATGCCTACAACACAACTCTAGCACAGCTAAGGTGGCCCTGGCCACCACTGAGGCTTTGGCCACACAGACACACAACACATAATTCATTGAGAGCTGCTTTTATTCATTAACGAGGTCAAAAATGCTTGCTAATCACTTAGCAGGGACTCTCCTAGTCTTAGCCAAGTCACGGATACTGCCCCTAACCTGAAGCTCAGTGTCTTCCATCCTCTCTGAGGAGCAGAGCAAGAACAGATCAGGAAGGGAGAGCAAACACTGCCACGCTTGTCACTATGTCTACTTCCTGCCTCATGTTTCTCAGAAGCAGGAGAGTTACATTCTAAACACTATCCCTACACCTCGAACTTTCTTCCTCAGTCACTGACACCAGATGCTCTGCAAAATCAGCAGCACTGGGTAGGCGGTTCGCTGAGAGGAAACAGGAAACAGTCCCTTCATTTTTGTTACCTTCCTATGATGTCTAAAACACCTAACCTTTGCCCTGCCCTAGTTTTAGTCACCAGTGGCCTAGCTTTTACTTGGTAGACAATTTAAAGCCCACTGATAGGAAACTAAATGAAGCCACACATTTCTAACAGAAGATTCTATGAAAAGATGACTTAAACTTAAGAGACACAACTAATTTTATTGATATTAAGGCCAAGGTTTTCTTTTTTTTAAAAAAGATTTCCACCAATATTGTCAATTGCCAAAGCCCAAGTTAGGTTTCTATAGCACAACTCTCTAAATTTGGAAAAGAACACATTTACCTAAAGTTCCAAATTGGTCACTGCCTGACCTTGGGAGGAAGAGGAGGCAGCACCCCACAGACATTTCTAGCACTTCCAGGAGATTTCCCCGCAGCCGCAGGCCTCGCCTCTGGCGCTAAGCTCCGCCCCGCCCTCCTCACTGGGGCGCTCAGCTGCCCCTCGGCGCAGCCCGGCTGGGAGCCACGCTCCCTGGGGTCCAGGGCCCGCAGGACCGCTGGGCAAGGCGAGGCGCCATGCGGCCTCCGAAAGACAGGATTCCTCCATGAAAAGAAACCAAACCAAAGAGCTCCCGGGACACTCAGGACCAAGACAGATGAGGAGCCTCTAATCAATTTTGTGGCCTTTTTTTGTTGGTTAGTTAAAAAAAGAGAGAGAGAGAGAGAGAGAGAAGAATAAAAGGAAAGTGCAGTGAAATTTACTCTTTCGCCTCAGCCAGTTTATTGTTCATCTCTTTACTTTGCTCCTTGTCGTCGGGTTGGGTGGCACTGGGGCCCTCTGTGCTCTTTTTCTTGAAGGCCCGGCCAGACACGACCTGCTTGTCTTTGGACTTCCTCAGGGGCTTATGGCTCGCTGAGGTCTTTTTTGGTTTGGAACTCAGAACACTAGTTTTCTCCACCTGCATGGAGAGACAGACAGACCGCAAATACAGAAACACAAAAGGGGAGGGAGTGGGAGAGAGAATTTAGAGAGAAAACATGATTAATTAAAGGGTAACGGTAATGATGTCATTTGACATTGAGGGAGCACAGTGTATAAAGCATTCTCAGGGACATGAGGTCACTTGGCTTCTAGAGCTGGTCTGCACCCCTTGGTCAGTCATCTGACAACACTCTCACTGGTCACACGGGATCCCTGGACTCTCACCCTGGACCATCCAGGCAGTGGGCTGTGTTACTCTTTGCACTATCTGCTTCCCCTCCCTGTGGGAAGATTATACCTCCCTCCTTGCCCTGTCCAAACCAGGCAGGCATATGATTTGCTTTAGTCAGTGAAATGCGAGCAGAAGTGATGTGGGTCACCTCCAGGCTGTGCTCTTGCCCCTGCCACAGAGAAGCTACTCCTGCACCCCGAGTCCCAGACTGCAGAGGTAGCAAGGAGGAGAGCTGCAGCAACCCATGCTGGGTGTATATTATGAGAAACAGACCTCTGTTGATGTAAGACACAGAGATTCTGGGGTGGTTTATTATTGCAACATAAGCCCACCTTTCCTCTGTTTCTGTTGCTAAGACGGTGAGCGCACATGGAGAAATGCCCTCACTGAGATGTTTGGGGCCAGGCACCTCCTCTCAATGAGGCCCTCACAACCGCCCAGCCATCCACTCCTCTTCTCAGGCTGGCTCCCTGGGCCATACTTCCCAGAGAAGCTGTTCAAGCCCACTCCACTCTCCCCCAGCTCCCTACCTCTGCCTCCTTTATTCCTAGAAGATGGCCCTGCCCTCTCTTTTTGAAGAACTCTGGGGCCACTGGGTATGACCCCTCAGTATGCCACCTCCCTTCCATCTCTAGATTTATTTGGCCCAATCTTCCTTCCTTCTTCTCTTTGAATCTTCTTTTGTCCAAAGCCAACACCATGCCCTGGGTCCCACCTCATCTGTGAAAGGTGGATAGAGATGACGTTGGCTCACAGGCTAGGTCATTCGCTCACTGAGGTCCAGAGGTTTTCCATCACCTCTGATCTGTTCGTAAGGTAACCAATCGACCTGGCTTACCTGGGACTGAGAGCTTTCATGAAACATGAAACTTTCAGTGCTACCACTGGAGGAGTCTAGGTAAACTGGGTCGGTTAGTTATCTTACCTGTCAGCCAGTCCTGGGCCAAACAAGAAACCACTGAGTGCAAGACTTTAGGGCAAAAGCAGAGAAAAGACTACTGAGGTTCTCAGACGTTTTCTGCTATTGCAGATAGGAGAGCTGATATTTGCACAATTCCACATGACCTGACCNCCAAACCAGGCAGGCATATGATTTGCTTTAGTCAGTGAAATGCGAGCAGAAGTGATGTGGGTCACCTCCAGGCTGTGCTCTTGCCCCTGCCACAGAGAAGCTACTCCTGCACCCCGAGTCCCAGACTGCAGAGGTAGCAAGGAGGAGAGCTGCAGCAACCCATGCTGGGTGTATATTATGAGAAACAGACCTCTGTTGATGTAAGACACAGAGATTCTGGGGTGGTTTATTATTGCAACATAAGCCCACCTTTCCTCTGTTTCTGTTGCTAAGACGGTGAGCGCACATGGAGAAATGCCCTCACTGAGATGTTTGGGGCCAGGCACCTCCTCTCAATGAGGCCCTCACAACCGCCCAGCCATCCACTCCTCTTCTCAGGCTGGCTCCCTGGGCCATACTTCCCAGAGAAGCTGTTCAAGCCCACTCCACTCTCCCCCAGCTCCCTACCTCTGCCTCCTTTATTCCTAGAAGATGGCCCTGCCCTCTCTTTTTGAAGAACTCTGGGGCCACTGGGTATGACCCCTCAGTATGCCACCTCCCTTCCATCTCTAGATTTATTTGGCCCAATCTTCCTTCCTTCTTCTCTTTGAATCTTCTTTTGTCCAAAGCCAACACCATGCCCTGGGTCCCACCTCATCTGTGAAAGGTGGATAGAGATGACGTTGGCTCACAGGCTAGGTCATTCGCTCACTGAGGTCCAGAGGTTTTCCATCACCTCTGATCTGTTCGTAAGGTAACCAATCGACCTGGCTTACCTGGGACTGAGAGCTTTCATGAAACATGAAACTTTCAGTGCTACCACTGGAGGAGTCTAGGTAAACTGGGTCGGTTAGTTATCTTACCTGTCAGCCAGTCCTGGGCCAAACAAGAAACCACTGAGTGCAAGACTTTAGGGCAAAAGCAGAGAAAAGACTACTGAGGTTCTCAGACGTTTTCTGCTATTGCAGATAGGAGAGCTGATATTTGCACAATTCCACATGACCTGACCTCAGAGAATCCCTCTGACATATATGACTCCTGTGTCAGCAGCTGAATCTCTGACATGCTTCTCCCTTTTATGAGCACTTTCTGGGATGCAAATAAGGCAAAGTAGTGTCATTAGAGGAAAATCCCTGAATTCACTGTAAGTTACAGTGGTACCTCGGGTTTCAAATGTCTCTGCTGACGAACATTTCGGTTTAGGAACGCCGTAAACCCGGAAGGAAATGCTTCGGTTTTCGAACACGCCTCGGAAGTTGAACATGCCACATGGCTTACACTGAGGGCAAGATCCTGAGGACAAGCAGTCGGCTGTTGATCCCTCGGTTTTCGAATGTTTCAGAACTCGAACGGTCTCCGGAACGGATTACATTAGAAAACCAAGGTACCACTGTACTTAGAAACGCAACTCATTCAAAACTGTTCATTATAGTAACAAATTGCTCAAAACACATCTTGCAGCTGACATGACAGGTGTGTTGTGACGGTCTAAGGACTACTGGGTGGATGGTGTTTATTGAGGGAAAGGGGAAGAAAGGGCAGGTGATTTTTCAGGGACCCTGGAGGTGCGGAAGTGACCAGTGACTAGAGCTAAGGATGAAGCAGGGGCCTGAGGGAAACGAAGCCAGGCAAAGATGCCTCCAACACCGGGCCAACATTTCAGGGGCAAAAGCACAGTTATTTTATGACAAGGATATTTAGAACCCAGGCCAGATTTTCTGCCACTTTTTTTTTCTGGATTTCTCAAAATCAGAAGCAAGTTTTCTCTACATCTGCCAGTCTTTACGCTGCTTTTATTTTAGGGAATGTTCCTTTTATACATTCCTTTTGAATTTAGCAAAGGTTCCTGTTAAGAAGGCCCCTCTGTCTCAGTGAGCTGCACAGAGGAGGGATTTTAATCTTGCCCTGGGGGCTGGGCCAGAGTGGGCTGTGCCCCCCCTCCCCCCTCCCCCCCATGCTCTGCTGCAATGAACCCATCCACGCCAGGCTGTGCTGTGGGTTCCCCACAAGATCTGTCTCACCTTTGGGCATTCCTTGAAAGGTTCGCTATAGAGGCTGCGTATTCTTCTGCGCTCAATGAACTTATTGTCAGCTGGTGTTGGCTTATTGGCCTCCCCTTTGAACTGGGCACTGTAGCTGGTCTCATGAGCCATCTTATCATCTGGGGGCTTGTACTGGAGCTTTGCTTTTATCGGTTTCACAGGCTTGATGTCCGTCCATGCTCTGAATTCATTCCTGTGAATCAAAGAAAACACAAGTGCTGTGAAACGTCTGCCTGGAAGCAGTGCTCCTCACATAGGGCTGCAGGCTCTACTGAAGATTCAGCTGCTGACATAGGAGTTATATATGCCAGAGCTGGTTCTCTGAGGTCAGGTCACATGGAATTGTGCAAATATCAGCTCTCCTATCTGCAATAGCAGAAAAAGTCCGAGAACCTCAATAGCCTTCTCTGCTTTTGCCCTAAAGTCTTGCACTCAGCCTTAGCGGATTAGACTCAGTGGTTAGAGCATTGGACCATGGACTGAAGGGTCCCAGGTCAAGGGTATGTACCTTGGTTGCACGTTTGATCCCAGCCCTGGTCATGGCTCATGCAGGAGGCAACCAATCAATGTGTCTCTCTCACAATAATGTTTCTTTCTCTCTCTCTTTTTCTCAGGACTGGTTGACAAGTAGGATAACAGGTAAGATAACGACTCCTTGTGGCACTGACTGGACTGTGTCCTCACTCTGTCCTCACAGATAGTGCAAGTTTTCCTCCTGCTAAGTTAATGCAGGTTTTGGCAACAGCAATAGCACCCTGGAGAAGGGCTTGGGCTCAGGCTTCCAGTTCCCAGCTCCCACTGTGATCAGGCACAGGCAATTCTAATCTCTGGGCTTTATTTTCCCAATTTTCAAAATAAGGCTGAAAAAACTCAATCCATTCAGTCATTCATGGGTTCAACATACACAGGGTGGGGCAAAAGTAAGTTTATAGTTGTTCATATGGAAAAGAATACAATAATTAATAAACAATACAAGAATAAGCTCTGTTTTGTATGCTCACAACTGTAAACCTACTTTTGCCCCACCCTATATAACCAAATGCCTGCTACGTCTGAGGTTTAAGAATTTCGAAAGTTAAATGAGACAACATATTAGCATTGTGTTAGACAATGTGTCTGGTATATTGTGGTCAATTAACAAATGCCAGTTTCCTTCTTCATTTTGTCATGATGAAGGCTCTTTGCTATCCAGAAATTTTAAGGCTAATTCCTCCCTTTGATAACAGAGGGCTTGCTCCTTATAGTGCTAGAATTTGAACATCTTAATCACTTTAGATGAAAATCTTTATGAAATGTGTAAATGCTTACAGATCTTAAATAGCACGTGATGTGGATATCACAACTAGGACATGTGCCGGGATATGTATGTGTGGAGAGTCTTCATGTGCTTTGCTCCATGTGAATGGCTATTGGTCCTTACCCTAAATGACCCCTTCTGCTAATTTTTCTGAGTCAGTGTGTCAGTTTTCTTGTTCACAGCAGTCTCTCCTGTGGTTTCTGATGAGCTGATTCTGATCTGTTATAGGACTGGAGAGGAGATGGTCAACACTCTTTAAAACATGGTTAAATAGCCCTGGCTGGTGTGGCTCAGTTGGTTGGAGTGTTCTCCCATACACCAGAAGGTCATGGGTTCGATCCCCGGTCAGGGAGCATACGGGAGGCAACCGATTGATGTTTTTCTCCCACATCTCTCTCTCTCCCCCTCCCTTCCCCTCTTTCTAAAAATACATGAGCATGTCTTTGGGTGGGTAAATATAAATAAGTGTAGCTGTGGCTGAAACGAAGGTCACAGGGCCCATCCTGTTTGTTGAGCGCATGAGATTCAATGCATAAGCTCTGTGGCTCCCAAGGTCTTTATCGGGTCTGTTCTCATGTGGGGCCATGAGAAGCTGTGTTGTGGGAAAGGAAGAGCTACTATATGAACATCTGTGGAGTTAGGTTCTTCCAGTGCCCTCTTTCATCCTCACTGGCAACACCCTCCTTCAGGGCCCAGAGATGAGTGCCACAAACAGGAGGCCATGTGGGATGGTAAACAGAGCTTAGACTGTGGTGGAGACACACCAGTTCTAGTCCTAGCACTGCCTCTAACTAGGCCTTTCCTCTTGCTGAGCCTTAGTTGCCTCATTTGTTAAACAAAAGAATCACACCAGACAATGTCCTAATAATGCCCTTCTAGCTCTGAGGCTCTCTGAGTCAATGAAGCTGGTTTGGTAAGTGTGAGCCACTTGTCAGTCATTTGACCTCCTTAGGGAAATTGGCTCATATCTGAGCAGAGACACCACAGTTTCTTTCGAGACATTCCTTCAAGCTTTATACTTGCCTTCCCAGTGCAGTTTGGATCTCCACCTAGATGCCCCACCAAGAGCTCAAACTCAACGTCCCTAGAACCAAACTGTGTTGTTTCCCCTGCCCAACTGTCCTCTCTTGGACTCCCCGATGCTTAATTTCACCCATTAATTCACAAAATAATTTACTAAGTGCTTCAGGTCTGCCTGGCAGGATGCTGAACTCTTTGGAGCTAAAACTGAGTAAGATCAGGCCCTGGGCTCAAGGTATGAGAGGCAGAGGGATCTGAGGTCACTCCAGGACAATACGGGTAAGAGCCATGAAGGAGGAAGGAGAAGCACAGAGGAAGAGCTCCTATGCCAACCCCAGAGTCGGAGGTAGGAGTGGGGGTTCTGGAGTGGAGTCAGAGAGGCTGACAGGGCGTTAACCAGAGGAGGGGGAAGCAGCAGGTTCCAGGCAGAGTGAGAACACTGAGAGGCTCACAGAGGCACAGACCATGTGGGGACCGGCAGGCAGTTCGGGTGCTGGGTTGAAGCTTGTGGGGAAAAGCACATGAAGCTGGACAGATCATGAAAGTCCTATACCAGCCATGCTAGGGGAATGCTCTGTCTGTAACAAGGAGGAGATGCCAAATGATTTCAAGAGAAGGGTGAGTGTGGCCAGATTCATTCTGACGAAGACAACTTTGCAGCACTGTGACTAGTTGGCAGAAGGGGAGCGGTGAGGCAGGAGGCCAGGCCTGAGACTGTGCAGTGAGCCAGGAAGAAAGTGGAAGCCTGAACCAGGATAGGTGCAGTGGGAATGGAGAACAGGGCACTGTTTCAAGAGGGTCAAGGACAGAACTTGCAAATGGCCAGCAGGGAGTTGGCCAGAGGAGCAGGGAGCAGGCTCCGATGGGGTGAGGAGTGGAATCTGAGGAGGCTCCAGGATTTTGGTCCTGCGGGTGGAAGTGCTACCCACTGCGATGGGGAAACTGGGAGAAGAGGGGAACTTGGGATGAGAACTGACACCCTCCTGATCCCGTTAATGGCACCCATTCACCCCAGCATCAAAGCTGCGTTTTGATCCTTTCCTCTCTTCTCCTCCCTTCTCCACCTTCCATAGGTTCAACCAGTTACTGAGACCTGACTTCTGAACCATTTTGGCTCTGCACACAGGCTTAGGCCTGGCCAAGGTGACACCTGGAGCTCTGTCACCATTACCTGCCTGAGGCTCCACGCCTCCTTCCTCCCACTCCTGTTAGATGAGCCTTAATACTTGGCCTGAAACTCCCAGTAGCCAAACCAGTAACAACCTGGCTCTCAATTAGGACTGACACAGGCGTACGCTGGCCTCGAGCACTGTTTCTGGGCCATCTCTCCCAGGCAAGCCTCTGCAGCTTTCTGGGTCTCTGCAGTGGCCTCTGTGAGCTGGCAAGTGTCTCATTATGAGCATTTTCTTCTTCTTTTTTAAAATCCTCACCCAAGGATATTTTTCCCATTGCTTTTGAGAGACAGAGAGAGAGAGAGAGAGAGAGAGAGAGGGAGAGAGACATCAATTGGTTGCCTCCTGCACCCGACTGGGGCTGGGGATCAGAGCCTGTAACCAAGGTACAAGCCCTTGGCTGGAATCAAACCTGGGACCCTTCAGTCCAAGGGCTGACGCTCTAACCACTGAGCTAAAATGGCCAGGGCTCATTGTGAGCATTTTCCATGGGGCATGTCCTTGCGTGAAAAGTTTGGTAACCCCTGATCCCAAACATCTTCACATGAGACAGTGTTAGTAAGTCCCATGATAAATTCACTTAACTATGACAGGCTGTTAGATTTAAACCCAAATTCTGTTACTTAGAACTGTCTCTGAACTCTCCACAATACCTTTCCCAGCCATATGTAACAACTAATCATATGCAATAAAAACAGAATTAGCTACTGTTCATTAATCACCTTTTATAAGCTGGTGGGTGGGATTTTGTTTGTTTTTGTTTTTCTATATTCTCTACAGTACTGGCAACAACTTTGAAAAAAGGTAGTACTATATCCCTATTACAAAAGAGAGTAACCACGGCTCAGAGAGGTTAAGTGACTGTGTAAGGCCACAGAGCTGGCAAACAGCAGAGTTGAAATCTAAGCCAGGCCATTCGGACTCACAGCCTACGTCCTTCACACTGCACTTGGGCAATGTGCTGGAGCTGCAGCGCGCTCAGTCTGCCCTCATTCAAGGTGCTTGTGTGGGGTCTGGCCTGCTGTCTACAATGCCTTAGAGGGTTCATATGACACAGACTGGACTAGGTGACATCTGAGCTCCTCCAGCTTTGATAAGCTCCACACATAGCAGTGTGGGCCACACTCTTGAGGTCATTCATAGCCGGTGCCTCTTGCCACAAGTTCATGGTCCCCTGTAGCCACGAACTTCCCTTTCCATGACCAGATTTCAGCTTGATCATTCATTCACTCATTAACTCATTAATAAGTTAATTCAGCATTTGACAAACACCAGCCATCAGTGTGGCATGTGGCTCACAGAAGGAGTAAGCCATGGTTGAGGTGTCTATAGTTTAGTGGGTCAGGATCTGTCCATGTGTGACCCTAAGCAAATGGGATAGAGTTCAGAGGGAAAAAGAAGAGGATCTTTAACTCTGAAGGGGGAAAGTGGGGAAGGGGGCATTGAAAAATGTAGATAGAGCAGTAAGTGAAAGGATTTCAGGCAGCAGTCTGTCTGTGTGCAGGTTCAGGTTCAGGGAGCAGGTGGGCTGCTCAGGGTGCAGGAAGGGATGTCAAGATGGCTGGGCCAGGTAGGAGCTGGGGCCAGGCTGTGCAGTGTAGTGTCTTCAATGCCATGTATGA